ATATATATATATATATTTTTGTAAAAAGTATTTAAATTTTCAACTACTTTTTCTCATTAATTTTAGACTTTAAGAAAAATTAGCAAGCACCCGTGTAATACACGGGTGTTATACTAGTTATATTTTATACATAAAAAATAAATAAAAATTATATATAAACCAGTTATACCATTGATCCAACCTGTTCGTTTTTTTAGAACCTTGCCTGAAACTAGATGTCTGAATATTTAGAACCTTGTTTCATGCCTAAGAAAAAGCACAAATTTAAACGTCTACCAATTTGAGATTCATTGAAAAATTTCAATAGCGCCTAAACATGTAACATAGTAGCAGTGCTCAAATTAATGAGTTTGGTAACATAGTAAAGTTAATTATTTTTCGATAGTTGGGAGTTTCAAAAGGCTCCTGAACATGTTAGTAACACAGGAGCAGCGCTCAAGTTGATTACATTTCAACAGATAAAGCAAAATAGGAATACAGATATTAAAGTGGTCTGAGTGGTCTATCAAAGATGTCACAACTATAGTTTGCCCATTCAAGTATTCTGATTCGAGAACTCATGCATACTCGGATCAAACAACAGTACCAAATATACGAAAAGAGCACGACAAAAAGCCACAAATTTCTACTAGTTTGAACCATCGATAACTTCACTACTTAATTATGGAAAACAAAATTCTTCAAAATGAAATGTTACAAACTACAAAGATCCAAATAGCCTGGGTTCCAATAGTGCAACAGACCCAATTACAGTAAGAAAAGACAACAAATCAATAAAAGGAAGTTTAGGCTGCGGCCTTTTGTTTCTTGGGCACGCGATAGCCACCCACCACACAAGCATGATCTCGCTCAAAAGGCTCAAGTGTTACCTGTTCTACAGGTTTGAACTGATCTTGCTGCAACTTTTTCACTTCCTGGGCAAATACAGCTTCGGCAGGTACAGTCGAGTCAATGCAGTTTGCCTATAGATATCAAGAAAGAGGAGCATAAGAAAGCAAGGCTCGACTAGAACAAAGCACATCCTTCCACGTATAATGACATTGCAAATTGTGCGCACTCAGATGGGTCCTAAATGATTCTGCATGATAATTGGTATTTTTTGTTTTCATCCACAATTATAGATACCCACTTTATATAAACAAAGATGAATTATAGATTGTAGTTCAAAACTACCCACTTGTGCATTTCCGGATTTGAAAGATTTTTACTTGCTATGAAGGAGATAAAAAAAGTAAAACTGCAAACCTTAATTGATATAACAAAGTGACCTCCAGCTTTCAAGAAGTAGGATGCATTCAGAGCTAATATTCTGGCCTGCAATAAGCAAGAAATCAAATAAAAACACCACATTTGTACCAGGACGAAGTGAAACCCTGCAGTAACTCCCCCTCTCCCATTTTTAGGTGAACATCAGCAACAAGATCCTCAGATTTGGAATAAAAAAAATAAAACTGTGAAAAAATTCAGGAAAAATCCCAGAATGGGCATCAGAAACTCGGTTATTGCATCACCCGTTATGTCTGGAAGGGGAATCCGAGCTCAAAACGGCTAGGTAAAAGTGTAAGAAAATAAAGAAAAAATAAATAAAAACCTAATATAGGAAAAATGAGATAAATAGTTGAAAACGTAACCAAATGAGCCTCTGCAAAAACACATTATAGCCCATGCATGATAAAACCAAAACAGCATCATAAAATTGATTTTTTTTCTGTAATACTATAAAAACTTAGTTAGGTCATCAACCAGAAGTAGTTGTACTAGGATAAGAAAATTAATATACATGCATATAAATAAATTACTGAACAGAAACTGAGAAGATTAAAAAAGTAGAGTAAAACTGTTGCTCCAGTAATGGCAAAAGGGAAATGAATTCAAAAATGCATCAGAAACTCGGTTTTTGCATCATCCAAGATGTCCTGAAGGGGAATCCGAGTAAGCTCATCATCTGCTTGCTAAAATAAAAGGCAGGAAATTGTACAAGTAAACAACAATAGGTAGAACCATATGAATAATGTATATAAACTCCATTATAATAGCATGTAGAAAAACAACAAAGCAATTCAATATGATTTGAAAAATAAAATATCTTGAAAAAACATAAGATCCAGAAGAAAAATAATAGCAACCACAGCACGGCCACAAATCAGGAAGAATTAGACTTGATGTCCCATTCCCATTTAACAATACAAGAATCTAAGATAGATAGAAATATAAAACGGTACAATTAGTTGGTTAGATAGAGTTATATACGATGCAGTATCAACACTGATGAATGATTAATATGGGAAGGAAATCAAACAAATTATACAGTTCAATCAGACCTGGTCAGGTTGAGCAACATCAGAAAATATGACATCAACCATGCCGACAAGCATCCTATACTTTGCAGGATGTCTTGCATCCTCAATAATTGGGATAACATTAGTCCTCTTCTTTGCCATGTTCACTAGATCCCTTCCACTTCTGTGAGAAAATTCAACAGCATACACTACCCCCTCCTGCCAAACTCAAATGTAAAACCAGAATATTAGAAAAGATTGTTAAAACTATTTAACTAATCATCACTGCAGAAGTGGAAAGCTACTCACAGGGCCAACAATGTCAGAAACATGAGATACAGTGGTTCCAGAAGCAGCACCGAGATAAAGCACGCGAGCTCCAGGTTTCTTAATAAAATAGAAAAAAAAAACCAAGTTCAGAAAAAGCACAAGATGAACATAGCTCATTGCAGACCATCAAAGGACCAGTTTCACAAAGCTTCAACTTACTGAACAAATTGTAAGTTGCAGCAAAAATTTATACATGGGTTAAAAATAGTAGTCAATATAAAATGAACAATGAGCTAAAATGTTATCAAGAAACAAGCTTGTGTCTAAATTCAAGAAAAGAGAATAAATTTCTAAAATAAAATGTGTCAATGAGTACACTCACAATCCAAATGTTATCAACTCCACCAAGAACTGCAGCAGCCAACTTCGAACGGAAAGGATTCCAAACTCTGTACTCGACCTTTGTTCCATCTTCATTCTGAAGAATTAAAATTTATAAAGTCGTCTACTACAATAATAGTTACTCAGTCACAATAACGATTAATAATGCATTTTAATACAAAAATGCATACCTGAACAGAGATCCTCTTCTCATTATAAACGGCTTCACCAGGAACCATGTTTTTCGTGCAGAGAGCGTCTTCTTTCCCCTTAGAAATAAAAACGCCGTCGTGCCTGTGTGGCTCCACTATAACCTTACTTCCTCCTTTCATCCCCCCTCCTCGTCCGCGGCCCCTGCCACCACCGCGTGCACCGCCTCTGTCGCCACCTCTACCGCCGCCTCTCTTCATGGCAAAGCCGCCCCTTCCACCAAAACCACCACTTCTTCCACCGCTGAAATTACCACCTCTCCCACCTCTACCGCCTCTCCCGCCGCCATCTCCCCTTCCTCCTCTACCACCTCCACGGCCTCCTGCAAACAGAAAAATATATGTCTCGATTAGCACCTACGAAAAAAACTCCCAAATCAAGGAACAATGTGGCAGATATCATACCTCTGATTGGCGTTGTGGCAACCATGGCTGGTCTGCTCTGTATGTGAAGAAGTGAGGGTATGGGGAGTTGAGGTTTCTGCGGGGGAGACTGCGAGTTGAGTAGGAATTTATAGAACTTCGATTAGGGTTTAGGGGTTTCCAGTCGACTCTCCATCAGCTGAAATTATTTTCGTTTTGGGCCTGAATTCGGAAATAAACGTACATTAATAATCAAAGTGTTTGTTTCGGCTTAGTGGGCTTTAACACCTTAGCTCAACAATCATGTGGAAATTACCAACCTACATTACCTTTACTTTCTTTGAGGACTTTGATATATTTAATTTGATTTCTTAAAACTTTTAAAGGCTTATTTGTATTCAATTGATATTTAAAAAAAAATATGTAATGATTTGTAAAAGTCGCAAGCTATTCAATTAAATTTTTTAATTGTATTATAAGTCGCTCGATAATCAAATTAAGAATGTTTCATAAGACTTTTCAAAATTAGAAAACCTATTGAGACTTTTTAAATAATTGTAACGACAAAGTCTATGTAGAAAAACAACCATAGATTCAAAAATATTACGAGTACTATTGTTTAAAGCACCACAAGAACATTTGAAAATGGGACAATATAGCATGATTGGATACAAATTTTGTTCAGGAAAAATTGAATTCTCACTGTAGAAGCGTTGTTTGGATATAAAATCATTTAAACTGTGGGCCTCAACTGAAGAGTGCAATTAGTTTTTGTCGGCCAACCACTTTATACAGTTGTAAAAGCTATATACTCAAAATAAAAGTCGGCCAACCACTTTATACAAATGTAAAAGCTATATACTCAAAATAAAAAATAAAAAAAAAAAACAGATGCATTGTCTTATCAAGTCGATTCTCGATTCAATGCAAATCTCACTCGTTTATTTCATTTTATAGCGGTCGAGAAAGATGACCTCTCTGCCACAAAATTTATCTTCTTCATCAACAAAGAATGGATTTCAAGCTGTGATGCCCGAGGAAGAAGGTCTTCGCAACACCACGTCCTTGTTGGATTCTCAGATTCACGGCGGGAGTTCTAGATAGAGGGTCGGCGACCAGAAGCAAGCACCACAGAACCGACCAACTACACCTATGCATCACTCGACCGAAGTATCTTAAGCGCTATTGGAGAGCATACGGAAAGCACTGGGAGCGTTTCTGTAAATTCGCCGGAGTAAAAAAGAATAAAAAGGTAAAGTTAATTTTATCGGAAATTTTGATTCAAGACTAGGGTTCTTAATTGGATATTTGCCCCGCACTACTTTCCACTTACTCTGTTCGAGCGTTTGCAGGGTATTATTTTCTTATTTTTGTTCAACTTGAATTGGGCATTGTTGATGAATTCTGTAAATTGTCCCCGCACATTGCTGAACATTTTATTCAAATTCAATTTTCAAGTTCTTTTATACTGTCAACATGGCTGAACTGGAACTGAGAAAAATGATGTGAAAAAAATTTGGTATATTTTTCCCTTTAAGCATTTTGTATATATTTCCCTGAGAAAAATAATGTAAGAAAAAATGTGAATATTAGCTATATTTTTTCTTGTGAACATTATAACAAAAATAATGTGAAGGATTAATTGTGAACATTATAACAAAAATAATGTGAAGGATTAATTAGTACAACACAATATGAGTTTTATGAAATTGTAGATGTCCATGAGTTTTGATCAAGGAATTGGGATATGGACTCAAGGTGAAGCCAAATGGCCGCCGGAAAACAAAAAATGCTCCGTCGACCTTATGTTAGATGAGGTGCTTGAAGGAAACTGTGTTGGCGGCAAATTCACTCAACAACAATGGGTGCAACTGGCCAAATAACTGAATACCAATTGCCCGAGGAAATACAAGTACACCATCAAACAAGTTGAAAGTAGTACAGACGCCTGAAAATGACTTGGACGAGGTTTTACAACCTGCGTAATAATGCAACGGGTTTTCGTTGAGATGAATCGCGTGGTGCCATCACGGGCCATGACGAAACTTGGAAAATGTGGTGCCATGTAAGATCCATTTCAATTATAACAGTTATTTTATTTATTGGATGAATGTTGTTCTTGTTCTATGCTACATTCCTGCTTGAAAAATACTTGACCACGTATGTTATTGATTATTTGTTACATTATTGCGCACGAGTCCTTCCAGTGCTTGCTATTTGCTTGTGATCCATTTTTGTATGTGCTACTACCAAAAATCAACTCTATATTATGCTGCTACTTCCAGTGGTTGTTATTATATCTATTTATTGTTTCTGTATTTGTAGATTTGTTGTTCATTTGGAGTCGTTTTTTCAGTAGATGGTTCATACATGGTTCTTGTCTCTTGTAAATATGTGGTTTTTGTTCACAGCATGTTTCTGTTGAATTTTTGTTTATTCAATATATGGTTTTTGTCATTTCTTTTCCTGTTTTTGTTTCTTCACGATATGGTTTTTGTTTACAGCACCTTTCTGTTTCTTTATGTTTTTTTTTCTTCAATATATGATTTTTGCAATTTCAGTTTCAGTTTCTGTTTCTTTTTCTTCAATATATGATTTTTGACATTTCAGTTTCAGTTTCTGTTTCTTCAATATATGGTTATTGTTGACAACAAGTTTCTCTTTTAGTTTCTTCAGTATATGGTTTCGCCATTTATGTTTTTGTTTCTTCAATATATGGTTTATGTGACAGTACTTTTTTTTGTTCAAATAAAGTTTTTTTATTTTATTTTTTTTAACAATTTTCAATTGCCTTTTTTTTTTACCTTGTCTTTTACACAAATATTTGACCTTATCTTTTTTTTCCAACGGCAAAATAGAACATTAATAAAACTCGAAACATAATACAAAGTACAATAAGAGATACAATGACCGAGCCTACCGAGTAAATACTCAAACTAGTGGGTAATTGTAACACAATACCCTCACAGGCAACCAAAGCCTAAAAATACAATACTACAAAAATGACAACATTAAAAGATAGTATCAATAGTAGCAGCACAATGTAACGGCAACTCTCGAATTTCACTCATCCTTTGGTTGGTGTCATCCTTTTACATTAAAGTTCTCTTGACATTATCCACCATATCAGAAGAATGAAGCAGCAGAGTGAAGTTTCTCCAATTCTCTTATGTAGCCTTAGTTAAAATCCACTTTAATGCAATAAACCAGGCTTCCTCTTGTGATGACACTCCAGAAGAAATATTCCTCCACTGCATATGTTCAAGACCATGTTGTTCCAAAGTACAAGCCATAGCAACCTCTCCTTCACCAGATAATGAAGCACTGAGAGTAAAAAAGGACTGACCTACTTCCTGGGAAAATTCATCATGGCTTGGGTGTGAGCTTAGCTGGGGCCTGTAGCTGCCACAAATCCTGATATCATGCTGTGATGTCCATTCCTGCCATTCCAATCTTGCCTCCTCCACAATGTTTCTCTCATGTATCCAGTCACCTTTGTAAAGTCATTTGTTCCTGGCTTTCATAGGTGCCACAACAAGAATGCTGATAAACCTAGCCTCTCCTTTCTAAGCACCATAGGGCCTTCAGTACACAGTTGAAACCACCAGCCTTCAAAATCCACCATGTCTAGTTGCTGAGAATTCCAACTGATACCATTGATTTTCCAGCAGACTCTAGCTTTTGGACAATTAAAGAGGATATGATTCATACCTTCCTCTGCCTCTCCACAAGTAGCACATATTATATCCACCTCCATACCTCTTCTCTGCAGCTGTTTCTTTGAGCTGAGATAATCCCACCAACATCTCCATAGAAAATTTTTAATCTTTGGTTTGATCATCAACTTCCAAGTGACCTTCCACATTTGCTGCAACCTGACTGGGTCTGAACTTGAGATTGCCACTGTTTGAGCTTAAGCCTTGAACTTTCTAATGGATTTGTACACTTCTTTAACTGAGAATTGGCCTTTAGGGTGCCAATGCCAGATTAATCTGTCAGGTCCTCCTTGAGCCATCAAAGGGATGTTGAAAATAGACTCCGCCATATCAGGTTCAAAGGATTGAAAAATAAGATCATGGTCCCACTCTCTCTTACCCTCCTTCATCAAATCACTCACCACTCTCAGTCTCTCTCTATCCTCAGGGAATTGGCACTTGGGTTTGAAAGGAAACCTAAGAACCCAAGGTGAATCCCAGATAGAAATAATAGTCCCATCCCCCACCCTAAATCTACTACCCAATGATAAAAATTTTCTAACTCCTAAAAGACTCTTCCACAACCAGGAGTCTTGAGATCTAGGAGAGGCATCCATCAACCCAGTCTGCCAATAATATCTGCCTTTGAGAACTTTACTAACTAACAGATTGTGTTGAGTAATGAATCTCCAGAGCTGCTTAACTAATAAAGCATCATTGAATGCAACCAAATCCCTAAACCCTAGCCCCCCTTCTCTTTCTCCCTCACAGTTTCTCCCAACCCCCCCAATGGATCCTATTACCGCCATTTTCATTGAAACCCCACCAAAAAGAAGCAATAGCTTGGCAAATCTGCTTAATTATAGACACAGGAATTTTGTAACAAGACATAATATAGGTAGGAAGAGCAATTAAAACAGACTTAATCAAAGTTTCTTTACCACTCTCACTTAATAATTGATTTTTCTAATTTCTGATTTTGTTTTGAACACACTCACTCACAAACCTAAAGGTCTCTCTCTTGGATCTGCCTATACCTAGGGGTAACCCTAGATATTTAGCAGAATTGACTTTTGAGATCCCAGCCAAAATTGAGCAAATGGTTCCAGAAACCTCCTCATTAATGTTATTAAAGAAAAAGATTGAGGATTTATCAAAATTTACTAATTGGCCAGATTCATACCTATAGTTAGACAAAATAGAGACAATCAAAGAAGCATGATGAGCATCAGCCTGACAAAACAAAATGGCATCATCAGCAAAAAGAAGATGATCAATACTAGGGGCATGAGGCCCAATTTTAAGACTTTCATCAATACCAGACACACAAGATTGTTTGATTAGATTAGAAAAAGCTTCTGACACTATGATT